GAAAATGAAAGGCTCATCCCACAAGAAGCGCTTTCACCTTTTCAGAGAATCTTTGATATGTCATAGTGTTTCATCTCATCAAACATGATCTACTCATTGTAATATCCCAAATTTTGGCCAGTGACTAAAATGTAAGTTGTGAAAGTTTTGTGGCTAAAGTATAAACTTTGTGAAAGATTAGGGTCCAAAATTTTAATTTAAAAAGTTATATATGTTAGCCCGTAAACGAACAGTTTAGCCTAAAATAAGAATTTTCGTGGTAATCAGATTTTTAAGTATGGGATTTATGTTAAAAGTTATAAAGTGATAAAGTTCAGTATAGAAATCGGATCGAACAGAAATTTCATGAAATTTCTGTTCGATGCTAGATAAAGGTTGGAAATGTTATTTCCATATTTTAGATCAGTGAAATTTAGCACGGAACAATGAAATTGGAGTTAATTTGTCAGATTTTGGCCGAATAGTGGAAATTTAGTGATTAAAATGAAATTTTCCAAAATCTCATGGTCAAAGTAGAAAGTCAAAGCCAAGTTTATTCATCTTTGACTAATGAATATTTTAATGGAAGATAATGCAATGACATTTAGTAAATATCAAGTTTTATTAATGGTAATTTTGAAATTTTTCATTAATTGAATTTTAAATTCAATTGTATTTTTAAAATGCCATGTGTTAAGGATTATAATACTAGAATAATCAAGAAAATTAGCTTATTTTCAGACATCTTCTTCACCTAGGTCGAACCACCATTGCTCTCCAAAGTGAGATTTTATTTTTGATTTTTGAAGCTATATGCTTGATTTTTTTTGAATAAGCTATTAGATAGAGATTTAATCTACACGAAATTCTCCATCATTTGATATAAATATTACATGGTGAAGATGCTTGTACGTTGAGATTGAAAGTTAGGGTTTATGTAAGGCTTATTAGTTTTGAGGATTTGATTAATGATTTTTATGTTTTTGATGTTGGAGAATAATTATAAGGCTTGTGTGATGATTAAAATAATGTGTAAAAGCATATACATCATTCAACCATGTTAGGGTTTTGAAGAAAGATTTGATTTTGATGCAATTTGATGTTGTTATGATTAGAATATCATGAATTTGATGCAAGGAAGTTGAATTCATGCTTGAAATCGAATAGAAATCAAGCCCTAGAAGACTTGTAATATTCGGCCATTAGGGAAATTTAGGGGGGGAAAGTTTGAAATAATTCCTATGGTATTGAATTGATATTAGAAGTGTTATATATGAATTGGAGATCAATTTGGATCATTTTGGAAGCTTGAAATAGAAAAATGTCTACTTAGCAAGTTTTAAGAATTATGGGATATAATTGAAAGAATGTGATATTTGGGGTATTCGAAAAGTCTAAAAAATATAGGGACTTGTTTGTGAGCTTGAAAACATGTTAGTATTATTTTGAACAAGAAATTACAATGCTGGAAATTTTAGTAATTAATGTGAAATGATCATAATAGTGAAGGGCTATTATGAATTTAATGAAAAAGTTGAGATGAATTCTAGAAAGAATCCATAATTAATGGCTTGATTATGCAATTGGCAAAATTCGAGGGGTTAATATAGGAAATAAATATTTATGGAAACTAGTGAATATCTTAAGAAGTTTGGAAGTACGATTTAGTTTTATATCGATTAAGTATTGATTTTTATTTTCATATATTTCTTTTATATTATTAAGTTTAAATTATGTTAGTTCGATACTAACATATAGTTTGAATATTTTATGTTATTATATGAAGTCGTCAAACCACGATAAATCTAGTGATCCTAGTAACTCGAAAGGGAAGGAAAAAGTGCAAGATTGAGAAGATTATTGTAGAGAATGTTCACTAGTGAAACAAAGGTGAGTACATATTTAATTTGTACAAATGCTATCGAACGAACATTGGTTTGCGATAAGTCAGTGACGGAATTATTATGGTAAGAAGTGACTCCTAAATATTATATGATTTGTGATTCATGCATATATGTTCATTTGATAAGCTAATATAATTATGGAATAAGCTAAGGATGCTATTTAGGGAAAGTTGCTTAGAAATTAAGGTTTGAACAAATAGGTTTAGAAAATCACCATAAATTATAAAGAAGTGATTAAAAGATGATCTCTATACTATTAGATTTATATATCAGACTAGTTTTTTTTTTAAACAAACAACCACTGATTTCAAGAAGTATACAAAAAGATATGAAATTTTGATTGAGCATAGGTCAGAAAACAGGGCAGCAAATTCTGTTCAAAACAGTTTCTATAAGTCATCTTTGAAAATTCGCTATAAATTGTACAAGTTGAACTAAAGGAATTTCCTTATATGGTTAGATTCATATTCGAGTATAGTTTCCATAGGTACAAATAGCATAATTTTTAAGTATGTATATTAATACAAAATGATACTTCTTTGAATGTTGTACTAACTGCCAAATTATGAAATTTCAATAAATTTTGTAGTCGAAGTAATTGAAAGAAAATGACTAAACTTAAAGCGTAGTGAGGTTTATATTTCGATTTATAAAGTGTCAAAGAGTATAATTTGTTTATTTAATTATTTTGAACGAGAAAGACTTGCGATAAGTCAATCTCATATTATTTTTCAAGTATGTTTTCCACTTTAATTATGAATTATTTCCAATGTTTATATAAATGTTTTATGGATGATTTAAGGTATGAACTGCCCACGTTTTATTTTGACAATGATAAATTAAACTGATTCTGAATTTGAAAAATTATGAAACGAATAAGATATGTTCTGAAAGCCCATTGTATGTTACATTGAGAGTCGTAAGTAAAATTGGCATGTCATGAGGTAGAGTGATTATGATTATGATCTGGTACATTTGTGTACATTATGTGTAGCACGTTTGGTACAAATGATATGAATGCACTCGGAGTGCATATTCTAATTACAATGATAGCACTGAAGTGCTTATTGCGCACAATCGTCTGACTCACGTACCTTGCATTCTCTTACATATATATTGGGCTATAAAAGTAAAAATGAATGTTATGACAAGTGTGTGAAAGAAAAGAATATGGAAATGAAATGAAAGTTTTGGAATATGTGTATGTGAAAAGAATATGAATTGTTTATCATATTTGATTTTGATTTACATGAATTTTGATAAAATCATAAGATGATGATTTTCTAGTTTTGAAGAGGAAAACGGCTTGAATAACTCGGTTTGAAAGTGTTAATGTTTTTGTAAAATTTACAAAATTATGTTTAGAATACTTTATGAAATTTATGTTTTATTTCACTTTAGTTATATTACTGCCTCACTAAGTTTTATTTAGCGCATGACGATTTTCATGCGTAGATTCAGATAGAGAAAAGAACGTGAAGTGAGGAGTCTCTTGAGCATCTTTCAAAAAATCATGCCAAATATCAATATCAATAAGACATCTTATCTTTGACTTATTAGTGGCATGTATATTATATTTGTATGTTGTTTTATAAGATTTGTTTTAAATGGTCCGTAATAGTAAACTACGACCATTTATTTTTGGTTAGTCTAGTTATATTCGTATTTATAAATGAATAGTATATATATATATATATATGTTTTTAAATTGTAATTAAGCAGTATTTAGGTAGTTTTAAATAGTTTATGAAACAGTACTAAATTGTCTAATTGCTGCCTAAAATTGGACTCATTTTGGACGATTAAATATTATTTTATGATTTTACACGATTAATGAAATAGTTTAAAGTTGGAAAAAAGAAGTTTTTTAAATGAAACAAAGTTTTAAGCATTTATGATCAACGAATGTCTGTAAGGTTGATGTAACATCTTTAACTCGTATCTCGAGACGTATACAGGTTATGGGTGTTACACTCATTTTATTACTAAATTCTTCAAAAATCCTAAAGTATCAGACTCTGAAACTCATAAACTCTCAAAGTATCAAACTCTCGCTCTTATCTCTAAAAAATGGGTCGTATTTATGTTGTTATTTATTACTATGGACAAATTTGACAATCTAAAGAGGGCGTTGTTTTCGAATCAGATCATTATATCCCCTTAACCTTCAAGAGAAACATCACTCTTGAGGAGTTAATCACAAAAATTTCCTTAAAAGTTCATGTTGGAAGTACTAGAAGATTATCTTCACTTTGGTATAGATTTCCTACTGAACTTCTTCCATTGACTTATACAACATTTGATCTCTCCAAGAATGATGATGTTGCTATGATGGTTGATGCTTAGAATGAAAGTTCACAAGCTATTACAGAAATGTATGCCACATTTGTTAACAATTATGCAGTTTGTGGTATGTCATTATGTTCTCACTATGGGTTGTCTTATCGAGTTGATCATGTTGACAGTCCAACTCAAATAATATGTAATGATTTCACATCATTAACAGAAAATTCACCTCCTGGCAACATTCCATCAAGTTCAGTAGGGAGGTATTCATCAGCAACTAGTTGCGATCTCTACCAAGATGGCTCCACAAACAATCCATATGGCAACATCCCTTCCAGTTCAAGGAGAATGCATTTATCTACAAACTTCTTCGACCTAAACATGGAAATTCCATCGACACAAAAGCTTGTTCAATACCCAAATGAAATTATTCTTTCAAGTTCCAAGGAAAGACATTCATATACCAACTTCTTCAACCTCAATATAGGCATGTCTTCGACACATCAGTCTGTTCAAAACCCATATGACACAATGCCTTCAAGTTCAAGGGGAATACATTCATCTACAAACTTGTTCAACCTGAACATCGGATTGACAGAGGAACCCTCATCTCCACCAGAAGAACTACTTCGTGAGTCAGGTGCAGATGCTGCTGAGACAGGGTTATTCTTTGAACCTAAATCACCGTAATTTAACATGGACTCTGATGATGATGCAGATGTGGTACCCATAAATTCAACACACAAATCAAACCTCCAACACATATGTATGAAGCTGACTATAATATAATGTACGAGCCATAATTTTTGGATATGCCTAATATTGGAGACTATGGATTTAACTCATCAGTCAATGAAGGTAAGTTATATATGCACATCCAAAGACAAAAAAATGATTGCAATTAAGAATTACAACATTCATAATTCATTTCACTCCAAAGTCAATTGATCCACCACCAAAAAGCATGTCTGCCAAAGTGTCCAACGTGACAAGAATGCAACTAGATGGTTTGTATATCAAAGAGGAAAGAACAACATATGAAAACTAACAAGATACAATGGTCCTCATACATGTTGTGCAAGAGGGATCAACCAGGACCATCCAAACTTGTATTCTAACATTATTTGCCAAGCCATCATGCCCACGGTCAAAGCAAGCTCTCACATAGTTATTGTAGTGCTGATTTATGCTATACAATCACAATATGGGTACATTGTCTCCTACAAAAAAACATAGAAGGCAAAATAGAATGCCATTATAAAATTTCACAGCGAGTGGGATTCTTCTTACAATGAGCTACCGAGTTGGTTTTAAGTAATGCAAAGACTGAATCCTGAGATAATTGTTGAGTTCGAAACTTGTCATGCATATGCGAATGACCGAGTAGTTTAAGATCGATGTCAATTCTACCGTCTTTTTTGGACTACCCACAATGCATTAATGTCGTCAAATACTGCAAATCGGTGGTCCAAATTAATAATACATTCTTGTATGAAAAATACATGCAAGTTGTATTATTGGTAGTTGTCCAAGATGATAACCACAATGTTTTTCCCAGTTATGTTTGTCGTTGTTGAAGTAAAAGATACAGAGTCTTAGGATTTTTTCCTGAAAAAATTACGCTTACATGTTGTCACGAGGGATAGCATATGCATCATTTCAAACCGCGGAGCTGGGATCAAAGTAGAAATGGACTCTTTTGGTACAATGTGGAAACCCCACATGTCCAACATCGTTACTGTATCCGACATATTGCTGCAAACTACCATGGAAAATTTAAGAAGAATGATGAATGCCAATTACTTATACACATGGGTATGTCATTTTTTATCAAATTTCATTTCTCAATCATTTTCATTTTTTTTATTCTACTTCACACTAACTAGTACATACAACACTTAGGTTACGAACTATTACCTCAAAGGTTTGAGTTCATGCTTCAAGAGTTGCAAGGAAAAATGAGCAAGGATGCAATTACATCAGCTCCATCAACAAAGAAATGTGGACAAATGCATACGATGGTAGATATCGATATAGTCATATGACAACCAACTTGGCTGAGGCTATCAATTCAACCTTAAAGGAGGCTTGTCATTTACCTATAATTGCTCTGGTTAAAACGACGTATTTTCATTTGGGTAAGCTTTTTGTGAAGCTCAGGTGACAAGTTCTTACTTAGATGCAAAACAGACATGTTTATCACCCAAGATTAGTAACAAATCTACAAAAAAAAGTTACAACATCAAATGGAATGTTGGTAACAAATATTTCTCGCAGACATGAATTAGTTCGTGTGATAGAAATGCTGCGACCTCTTCAAGGGATTAAATCTAACTCTTTCAAAATTAATCTACAAGAAATGTAGTGTGATTGTTGGTTTTTCAAACTCTAAAGTATTCATGCTCTCATGTCATAGCAACTTGCTCACATTTCCATTTGGACTATAAACATTATATTGATCTGGTATACCAACTTTCACAAGTATTCAAGGTATATGAATTTGAGTCCCCCATATGTAATGAAAAAGACCCAAATGAGATTCAGACTTAGCTTATAATTATATCAAATTTGTTGTTACTAAGGGAGCCATGTCGTCCAAAATCCTCTCGAATTCATTGTGATATGGATATTCGAGAGGCGTCAAAAGAACATAAAAGATGTAGGCAGTATAAAAACCTAGGCCACAATAGGAAAAATGTTCATCTCTTTCATCATCACCGTTGACCATTACTTATGAAATTGTATTTTCTTATATTTCAATTTATGTGATTCGATTTTCTTGTTTTTTAAATTTATTTGATTTTATTTACTTTTCTTTTACAAGATGTGGCTTTCTTCTATTTTGTATGGGTTTATTATTTTCGATTTACGATTTTGTAATTGCGCTTAATGTGTTAAATTTTAATCTACTCCTAAACCATTATAACATAAAAGCCCTACATCATCTTAACCTAAATAAACCTAAACCACTTTAACATACCCAAAACCCTTAAAACACCTTTAACCTAAACCACTTTTCTTTCATTATTTCAAAAACCCTAAATTACCTTTTCAATGAGCTATATTTAGAAGTAAAAGTACATCCTCTGGCACGTGTCTTCCACCGTGATGTCAAATCATTAAAAACGTAAGTAAAGCATGCTCTCTACAATGCACCTTCCACCTCAACACAACGCGTCTTTCTCTAAAATAAGTGTTTTTTATTTTTAAAGGTGGTTTCTACATAAAATTGCCATAGAAGTTGGGGTCTAGGGGATATGACGCTTTGATCCCATCCCTTCCTTTGCTATGCTATTCTTTCTTCGCAGAAGCAGCTAATAAGAAACGAAGAAGAAATGTTGAGGTCCATTGCTAAACGATCCATGCTATTAGATGTATAAAGGTCACTTGCTATTAGATGGTTGTGTTGCTAATAGATTGCGTTTGTGGTGTGAGATGATTTCCATCTTCTGCTCCAAAACCGAGAAAGCAAGTAGTATTGGACGATCGAGTTAGCTGTGGGAAGAGTATTGCAGTAGCAATGATTGTGCATTGGGCTCGCAATGAGGGCTGGCTTGTTCTTTATGCCCCTAGAGGTCGTGAATGGACCCATGGAGGATTTTTCTATAAAAACCCTGAAACAGGTTTTTGGGATACACCTCTGCAGGCTGAGAATGTTCTAAAGGCAAGTCGCGAATGCACTCAATATTTTAAGTCTGAATAAACAAACACACTCTATATTCATTCATTTTTGTGGCATACATTCTGGAGATCAGGGAAGCTGAAAGTTTAGTTGTTAATGCCTCTCCCCTTTTCGCGGGAGTGAATGTTAAGTCTTCTTGGTTTGTTATATGATGAAATGTTCTTGGTGGGTTATATTGCTGCAGTATTTTCTGAAATACAATGAATCTCGCATACAATCATTGCCATGCCAAATTTTTGATCCTATTAGATTGGGAGAAGGTGCTGGTGTTGGATGGATGAAAGGAGTTGAATCCATGGCCCTCCCAGAAGGTGCAACACTGTATGATCTGCTTCAAATGGGAATCAAGTACACACATGCAGCTGTTGGAGTTGGAGTTCGGTTGAGAGAAGAATTATCACTTGTTAAAGATGTCCCCGTGCTCATTGCTATTGACCAGGTTGGCACCACATTGCTATTGTTCCTAGCTACATGATTAAACTCTATTCTGAAAGTATTTTGACTGATGTATCTCGTTTTGTCTTCAGTATAATAATTGGTTTACCTTCAGTGAGTATGAGGAGCCAGTGACTGTTCGTTCTCGTCGACCAATACATGCTAGAGAAGTTGCAATGGTTGGTATCGACTCTTTTGTTTCATTTATATTGCTTAGTGAACTGTGTTCTTTCTTAGCATTAGGATTTGTGAGATGATAGAAATCTAGGTATTAATTTTTGTGTTTCACTATCTGTATCTAACAGAAGTTTCCCTTGCAGCTTCACTATTTTTTTTATCATTTTATATTTCTTGTGCAGGTGAATGCCTTCAGGTCCATGATGCATGACGACATGATGGTTGGTGCTTTCTCTCATTCAACTGCTGTGGGAAAACTTCGTCTAGAATTGCCAAATGTACCTATAGATGCCCGTGTTAACATGCCGCGTTATAGTTCTGACGAGGCAGAATCTGTTTGCCATTACTACCTCTGGTATGCATATGTGTTGTGAATTTCATTTGGATTTTGCTCTTGTATATTACATGGTGAAGTTACATGGTTCGCTGTTAACCTCCTACACACGTTGCAGGCAAAGGCTTATACGAAGGGAAGCATTCTCGGAGGAAAGCTGGAAAAAAGTATACTACTTAGCCAATGGAAATGGTGCAGAAATGAGATGGTTACTTCCTTTGATGCGGTAAAACATATTTTGAAGACCTGCATCGATAGATCGTGTCCATTATTTTCTAAAATCTTTTCCAAATATTAGGGTGAGACCATGTCGTCATTTTATTATACTCCCAGATAATGTAGTCGAGAAGCCTTTTGAGCTTTCTTTTCAGAAATGATTGAACTGAAAGAAAATTTTCTTATTGTCTCCCCTTGATCTACAAGGTGTTTGTCTTCAACAGTTATGGCACAATCACACATTTCCATCTTCGCACCCTGATTCGGAACTATACTTGTTAGAATTTATCTCCATGTTTGTCTTAAAACTGTTTCCCATTAGAGATATTGGGTGTAGTATGTGGCATCTCATCTATTATCATCAAGCGGGGTCAGCGTCGAAATTAATCGATACCTCATTTTTTATTGAGTAGTGAAGACAAATGAGAAAATGTTATGACCCTTGAGAAATAGAGAAGTTGAGATTGAAGAAAAGTAGAATAGAAAATTAACGAAGCAGATGAATTTTTGAAGAAGAAGAGATAAGATTTCATTCATAAACTTTCCATGATTTGTGCATTACAATTCTTTATATAATCTGCTAATGGGACAAAGCCTATTATTTTTACACAGATGTCCTAAATTATCTGCTAGTGCAACGGCCTAATCATCAACTATTGCCTGGTATAATTCTGCTTATGGGCTCTTCTCTGAATGGATCTCCACCTTTGGGTCATTTGCTTTCTTCTCAACTAGATTCTTATCTTCACCAAATGCTCAACGTCGTATTTTTTCCTTTGGTAATATTAGCTCCACTTTCCCAATTCCCATTTTTTCCAATTTCTGTCCATAAATCCCTAACCCATGAATTGTCCCCATTTTCGTTTCTCTCCTAACTTCGATCATAACAATTCCTCCCCCTTTAGATGATCCTTGTCCCCAAGGATCAAATACCATAATTTTTTTCTTGAGGCTAATGTTGCATTTCCAAGTGAAAGCCTGATTGTTCTTCTCCACCCTCATGTGTTGTAAAACGGTGTAAGGACCATAGGACCTTGCTGCAAGCTTTAATTTCTTTCGAAAAGCAAGTGACGTTTGGTGATAGTGCTAGAACTTCAGGTAAACTCTGTCCCCGACCTTCAAATCTTTGTTTCTCCTTTCTTTATTCGCATAAAACCTCATCTTACTTTGCTTGATTTCCTCCAGTAGCTTATTCAACCTTTCTTCACTGATCTTGTTTGTCTCTTCGAACTTTTCCTCCGTTTCACTAATTTTCATTTCCAACGAACTCACCATTGCCTTCAATTTTTTATTCTCACTAGTAAGCTTCTCTAGCATCATGTGACCATCCACTAGAACCTCCTGAATTACAGGGACCACCTCAGCTACCCTTCTAGCATCCTCACGTTCCTTGGCTAGCAATTCTTTGGTTTCTTTAAATTGAAGTTGCATGTCTTGCAAAGCAGACTGAAAATTTGTGTTTTCTGTTATTTTGGCCTCTTCCATGTCAACCCTCATACGTTTCTCCAGTTGTGATCTCCATGTCCGTTCTTCAACTTGATTTTCCAATTTGTTCTTGGCAGCTTGCAGAGTTCCAATTTCCCTAGCAGTCATCTTAAGCTTCCACAGTTCTTTTTGAGAAACTCTTACTCTCCATGCACATTGTGTAGCAATTTCTTCAACCTCATATAATGCAACTAAGACAATAACTTACGACATTGGCTCTGAATTATAATTGTTGCTTTGGTCTGCCTTCTAAAGCATAGCTTATTGTATGTAGCCAATATATCGAAAACCATCATCTTTATGGCTTCGAATAATCTTTCAGTCATCTTGTAATGTTTGGCTTTATAGTCTAGCAAAATGGATTGACATATTCTATACATGGAATTAGCAGCCAATACCTTTATAAGCCACTTTGAAGGGTCATCCAGTAGGCACAAATTAGCAACATTGCACTTCTTGAATTCCATGAATATGTTCTTTGCTGAATCAAGAAGTATTTCCAGTATTTCATTTGTGTTTTTTCCTTGGAGAGATAGTTTCCAAAGGTCAACATTTAGCCATCTATGATATAACTCGACTCCTAGCCACACAACATTCGCAACCTTCCTGTTGTTTACCATATTTCCTTGCATGTTCTCTATGTTTCCGACATACACTAAACCTTCATTTACTCCAGCTATAAGACATTTGATTGAGCAGCTTTCAATGTTTGGAACAGATTTTTGGCACTGTAGAAATTGATTCACATTTATCGTTGAAGGAGATCCGTCTAAATGTTTTGCTGTTGTTCGAGTTTTATAGTGGTCCATCCACCATCCAATGAACTGTAGGAAATTATTGATTGAATTTGAGTGTAAGCTGTGATCGATCTGTCAACCCTATGTTCCTCAACATCTACTCACGCATCTTTAAGATTGATTCCCATTAGGATTAATCTAAACTTGTAAGGGTCATCTTCTTCTACAAGTTTATCCCTCCCAACCTTGACAGGATCGAACTTACACCCATCAACATACATAATCTTGATCGAGCCAAATTTACACCCCTCGACCAAAACACAAGTAATTAGTTGATAATTATATTTATGCATCATTACATGCACCTTCCTGTCCTTGATGCTGGAATGAAGCTTTGTGATTTTTAAAGAAACTTGGTGGTGCAAACTCCCATGATAGTTTTGACAGAGATAATGAACATGGTATTTTAAAGAATTTGAAGGTTGCCGCATTTTGGTCTCCTACAAACCAAGTTTGCAGCATGACATCCACGTTCACCGCACCATCATCACTTCTATTTTCACCATCTATCACTTCCTCCAATTGTACAAGCCTTTTACCAAATACGGAAGATGTGTCATCTTCAACATGGTTCTTTATAGTCTCAATGGCATTGAAAGAACCTAGACTCATTGTTTCATCACTTTGAAAAATCAAGTCCCTCATAACTTTGATATGTTTGGTCTCCAATATTCTTTACCTTTGGTGTTGGCAATTTATCGAACACCTGTGAATCATCATGTTTTTGCTTACACTTTGTACAAGTCAGAATATGTAAAATGTGCTCAACATCTCTCTGCTGCAAAGCCATTTTGGATTCCATCATACTCAACCCTTTGTCCTGCTTCTGCCACCATTTAGGTGGGGTGGACTCATCGGTTGTTTGTTTTACCAGCTTTGTCAAGTAATCAATATGTTTTTGTATAGCAGACAAATCAGTGGAATCACCCATCGTTTGGTTCTTCTTTGACAAACCCAAGCTTTAGAATGCCAGGAATAATGGCTCTTGATACCAATTTGTTATGATCCTTAAGAAATAGAGAAGTTGAGATTGAATAAAAGAAGTAGAATAGAAAAGATTAATGAAGCAGAGGAATTTTTGAAGAAGAAGAGATAAGATTTCATTCATAAACTTTCCATGATTTGTGCATTACAATTCTTAGCATATATAATATGCTAATGTGACAAAGCCTATTATTTTTACACAGCTGTCCTAAATTGTCTGCTAGTGCAACGACCTAATCATCAACTATTGCTTGGTATAGTTCTGCTTATGGGCTTCTCTGAATGGATCTCCACCATTGGGTCATTTGCTTTCTTCTCAACTAGATTCCTATCTTCACCAAACGCCCAACGTCGTCGTTTTTTCTTTGGTAATATTAGCTCCACTTTCCCAATTCCCATTTTTTTCTAATTTCTGTCCATAAATCCCTAACCCTTGATTTGTCCATAAATCCGTGATAAATGTGCCAGCTTCCGTAGTAATTCTTTCTAAAGGATTGGATTTGATCTGTATCCCAAGGATTTGAGTGTGAGTTGTCGCCTAAAATTCCATGAATCAGATGTTCAATGATAAAAGCAAAAACAGAGTTTCATGTTCTGTATATTTCTATTGCAAATTTAGTCAAAGCTTACATTGTGAAAGGGTAACATCTATAGGACTTAATGAATGCGATTGATACTGATATGATTATGTTTTTTAGATGTACCATATAAAAAAACGAGCATAGAAAGAAACCCAAGCTAAATCTGAAACTCTTCTATTCATTCCATAATGTGCTTCATTTTACAACAAATTGTGAAGAGATAATTAAGCCAAATACAAAAAAGACTCAAAACAGGGAGGCCAATGAGAGATTAAATTCCCTGAACATTTGAATCTAGTCAGTCCCTAAGGATCCGAATCCTGACATAAACGAGGACACGAACGATTCATATGGAAGAAAGATCTTCATATATGGTCTTGATACCTGGCCTCTCAGAAAGGGATCGAATGCATCTCAATCCTATTCCAAGGACCTCTTTCATTCCCTTCTCAGCAGCCGGGTTCCCCATCTCTTGAGCCAGTGCCGAGTCAAAACAATCCGAGCCATTGCCTTCTGCTACCTTCAACCGAACCCATTCTATCGAACTGATCCCTTCTGCTTTCCCTGGAATCATATCACCTGCACATTTTCCCGTTAGAAGTTCCAACAAAATCACTCCGAATGCGTACACATCGGACTTGAAGGATAGTAATGGTTTCTTGGTATCAGCCAACTCTGGCGCCCGATATCCCAAGAGACCAGCATCCAATATCTGTTCCATAGTTCCTGCTTGTGTCATGAGACGATGTAGGCAGTAATCGGCAACACGAGCATTAAGATCAGGCCCGTCTAATAGTATGTTTGTCGCTTTTAGGTTACCGTGTGGCACGGCTCGGTCGAAATGGAGATAGTTTAAACCACGTGCCACATCAACCGCTATTTTCAGCCTCTGTGCCCATGACAAAGGTGGACCTTTTCTTCCTGGTCGATCTGAAAATATTAGATGAGATTCATTAGAGCTATATATACACACATAGCTCGAGAACAACAGCCTCAAGTTCTTGGTGGAACCGGTTCAACCAGCCAGTCCAGTTTTAACAACCATTTATGAAAGTATCTTATATGACAACGAAAGGGAAATAAAAGTTGGATCAAACAAGCTTCTTCTTTATATTAAAATGCGAATAACGCGTTGGAAAAGCAAGAAGGAAAACAGATTACCATAAAGAAAGCTTGCAAGACTTCCAGGTGAGA